ATGTTTTTTTAATATCTTTCCCTGTCCCTTTAACCAGCCGCAGCGTCTTGCTGGCTGGGAGTGGCCTGGAGCTAAGGCGCTTCAGTGATCCCTTCGGACCCCAAACACTGGGCAGCTAAGTCCTCGGAGGTGGCCTTGAGCTGGCCACCTGCAGACGGGTGGCCACGGGGGCTTTCTCCTGACCCCCACTCTCTAGGTTCCCACAGTAGCTTGGGGGGCCAGGTGTCCTGTTTCTGAATCTTTGTCCATAGAGGGCAAGCCAGGGGGGAGGCGGAGGGCCGCAGCTGGTCTCTGGGAGCTCCCAAGGCTGGGTGGGGGCTCTTCCTGGGGACCTGCCTTTCCACCTCCAGGCTGATGGAGCCCCTGTGAAATGAGCTCAGTGCCCCCAGTCAGGCTCCCACTCCCCCTCCTTCCTCACCCCGAGCGGCTCTGGGGAGCAGAGGGAGAGAAAGCAAGAGGAATGGGTAGAGAGCACCGTCTGTTGTCCAGGCCCCCCGTCCCGGAGCAGGGGTGTCCGCTCTGTGCATCCCCCCTGAGTCCCCAGGCCATGGGAGTGGGTGTACTAGCCCTGCCAGCAAGAAACATGAGGCCTGTCAAGGTCGAACCCCAAGTCTCAGAGAGACGGAAGCCCAGAAGGACAGGGACCCAACTATGGGACGCAGGGCCTTCCTGCCACGGAGCCCGGGCCACCCCCAGTGTAGCCGGTCCTGTCCTTCCCCTGCCTAGTGGGGCACCTCTGCCCGGCCCACATGGGCTGTATCTTCGCTGGAGACCCCAGGTGAGCAGTGGGTGTCCCAGGCCCCTTAGCACAGAGGCCGGCTCTGCCGGGTCAAGGGCCCACAGAAGCCAACATCTGGGCTCTCCCGCCACCTGATCCCTTGCCTCACATCCAGGTCATCGCCCCCTGGAGGATGCCCGAGTTCTACAACCGGTTCCAGGGCCGCAATGATCTGATGGAGTATGCAAAGGTATGGCTGCGTCTCCCCAAACACCCCCAGCCCTTGCCTGTTGCCCCCAGGGGCATAGCCCTCTTGAGGGGCTGACCGAACCAGTCACTCCAGGCTGGGGCCAATCCCCGCTCGGGGGATGGTAGGAGATGGTGGGGGGTGGGGATACTGAATCTCTGCCTCAGCTGACCCCGCCCACTGCCGCTCGGTGGCACCTGTTCCCCTAGGGCCGGCCCCTCCGCAGAGGTGCGGTCACTGCCTGGGCTGGGCATCTCCACGGAGAGTCCTCAGTCTGCCTCCCCTTCTCCTGCCGCCCCTGTGGGAGGTGTGAGGGAGGTGCTCTCCGGCCCGCAATTACGGGGCTGCTCATTGTCCCCGGCTCTCTGCCGGGGACAGGTAGGCGCTCCGAGGGGCCGTGGCAGACAAAGGCTTTTGTGGAGCCAGCCCTTTTGAAGTACAAGTTGCAATAAAACATATTAGAAGTTTTGCATCAAAGGTCCTTAGCCGCTCCCCGGGGTCCCTTTCTTTTTAGCGACTCCATGGCAGCCCTTGACAAACAGCCTCAATCAGTCAGACGGGGGGGAAAAGCAACTCGGTGCACACACCAGAAAATTGCTCGGGTTTTAAATAGCAGTCACCGGGGCTCGCTGTGAGCTCCTGCAGCCGCCAAGGTGCCGCGTGGCAGGGGACGCGGCGGGGACCCAGCCTGGCCCCGGCCGCCAGCATCCCATTAAGACCTGGAGGGCTTGGAGGAAAGATCTCCTGTACCATCTGTTGTTTTATTATTAAGAGGGGAGTTTACAAGAGCAAGCCCATATGTTGCCAAACAAATTGTCAAATCGCAGAGCTATTAAGAGAACCGGGGTGGAGGAGGATTCCCACCCCCCTTCGTCTCCTTGAGACAGAATATGGAGCCCGGTTCATCTTTAAGAATAATGAATTGGAACCCCCGCCCCATCTCCATTCTCACGACGGCACTCCTGGTTCAAGAGAGGGCCGGGGTGACCTGTGCCTTGCCCTTCGTTTCCGTTAAGCCCCAAACAAAAGCGACTCCTGGTTTTGTCCCAGCAAAGATGAATTTCAGGCGTGTTGTGGGCCCTCCTTCCCAGATTTTGGGGGAGAGGTCCCTTCACAGAGCTTCCGTCCCCAGTAATCTTGGAACAGGAAAGCACGGTGAGGAGAGGGGCCCTGGCAGGGTGTGGGGGGGGTCCAAGGCCTCGGAGCCTCCCTGGACGGCTGGTACTGCATTGAGCTCTGGGGAACCTGAGCACACTCAGGGAGGCCGCGTCTCTGCACCCAGGAAATGCCCAGAATGACTGAGCAGCAAGTGGGCTTTGTCCAAAATGCAGAATCAGACCACTGATTCTGCCAAGACAGGAATCAATGGCACTTTGAAAACCCCCGGCTTTCAAGACCTGCAAGTTGCCAAGGCCAAAAGGTGCGGTAGGAGAGCCACACACACATTCACTCCACTCCTCCCTACCCCCTCATCCTGTCGTAAGCATCGTCACCGTAATTAATTTCTTTTAAAAGGCCAGCGTACGAGGGAGGGGGCTGGAAGGCAGGGCCGTTGCCTGTGTACTTGTGGGAAGGTGGTTTTGTTCTCTGTCCTCAACGGCAGTAAGAGTTTCTTGATGGGGGTGGTGCAGGTGGAGACAAAAATCTCTCTGGTCAAGGGACTATTTCTGGTGTACGTGTGTGTCTCTTGCTGCCGAGGAGAGCTGCCCAACCTGTCCCTCCCGCCTTCCTCCCTTCCTCCTCTCCTTGCTCCCACCATGACAGTGGAGGCCCAGTGGGAAGGAAGGCAAAAGTGTTTCCAAGCCCCCCCCAAAAAAAAAAAAAGGCTGCGGGGAACCCATCTGCTGGCTCTCTGGGCCCCCAGCCCTGGGGTTCCAGCTCTTGCCCGAAGTCCTGGTCGCAACTCTGGGGGGATGAGTGCCCCCCCCCGATATTGAGCAGCCTCTAAATGAGGTGTCCCTGTTTGCGCATGTGGTTTAAATTGAAGAGTACACAAATCCCAGAATAGACTTGGACTATCTTTTAAAGCAATTCCCCAGGTAAAGCTTTAAAAAAAAAAAAAAAAAAACATGCATCTAGAGGGTTTTAGCTTCATTTATTTTGAAATCTTAAGGTGGTGGGTGACGAAGGAAACCTGGAGGAGGCTGGAGTCCTCTTGTGGGGGGACTGAGGGCAGATCATGGGTGGCCCCGTCAGGAGAGACGGGGTGATGCTGGTGGGGGCTACAGGGACCAGGGCTGGCCAGGTTCTAGGACCATGGGTTGGGGTGGGGGGGCAAGGTGCTGAAAGGGGCTTGAGAAGCAAAGCGTCCGGTCTCATTGCCTTACGGAGGCCTGGCAGGGCCACTTAGCTGCCTTGTGCCCCATAAGAAAGGGGAGGGGAAAGCAGAATGTAATGTGCATGTTGGATTCCAACCAGGTGTCCAGCGGGGACAGCACAGGGGGGCTAAGGGGTCAGCCTTGTCCTTAATCCCAAAGGCTGAGTGAGGTGGGCCTTCAGAGTGATCGCCAACACCCTTCAGACCCAGGGTCAAGGTTGGGATGAGTTTTCTCCTTGTACAATGGATTGAACCATTTGGGAAGCCAGGCGTAATTGGAACCACTAGGGGAGGTAGAACCGGTAGGGGGTGTAGCTGGGATGTTCCTTAAAGGGTTGCAGAGTCATGTGGTGATTGTGCAAGGCAGGGGGACAGGAGTGGCTCCAGAACGTGCCAGGCGGGTACCGTAAACAGGTGCCAGGAGCTAGAAGCCCTTTCCCCAGGCGATACTGAGTACCGTGCAGGCGCGCACCTCAGTTGAGATCTACGGTGGAAGTTCAGGCCCTTCCCACCCCCCAGCTCATGGGGTCACAGAGGGGCAGGGTCAGCAAGTGGGAAGCCTCTGGGACACTGCCTGGCACACCCTAGTGCTTCAGGGCCCATGAAGTATAGACTCAGATAATCTTCTGGAAGGAACCTCCAAGGTCAGTGTCCACTCCATGGTATCTTAGATACAGCCTTGTAGTTTCTGCATGGGCGTGTCCAGTAATGGGGCCCTTGCTCATTCCCCAGGCAGCCAGGGGTGTGGGGAGGGGAAGGGGATGGAGGGGTGCCGGTCTCGACTGCACGAGGACCAGAGTTTGAGGAATGTCCACAGCCTCATAAGAAAACCAAGGCAGCTGGGCGTGGCTCTCAGGCCACCTTCAAGCTGCCTCACGCTGGTCCCGTGTCACTTCTCACCCACAGCAACACGGAATCCCCATCCCGGTCACCCCCAAGAACCCATGGAGCATGGACGAGAACCTCATGCACATCAGGTAAGCGAGACGTCCCACCTGTGCACTGTGCTGCCCCACATCCGGGAGCACCTGCCTCCCCAGAGCACCTGTAGCCTTGGTATGGTCCCCACCTGCCCCTCACCCAGCGCTCCCTGCGCTGCTGCTCACTCCCTGCAGGGCTGGGGCCGGGTGGGGGGTGGTGTCAGGGGGTAGATAATAGGCACCTGCCCTTGGCTGGGTTATCAGGGAGGGCGTCTCGAAGGAAGTGACATTTGAGATGAAAACTTCAAGGATGAGAAGGGACTGACTGTCCAAAGTACGAGGGGGAGAGTGTGTTTAAAGCAGAGAGAACAGCATGTATGAAGCGCCCCCCACCTCCCCATGGGAAGCCCCGGGCTCCTTCTTGTAAGCTGCAGCGCCCAGAGCCAACTGTGGGAGCCCCAGAATGTTCCGGGCGGGGTTAGCTGCAGTTGCTCTGCCAGAGAAAGAAGGGCAGACCAAGCTTATGTTGGGGAGGGTGTCTCCCTGCCCCTCCCCACCTGATCCCCTGCCTTCCTCTCCCCCCTTACAGCTATGAGGCTGGAATCCTGGAGAACCCCAAGGTAAGCCCCCCACCCCCGCAGTCTCCTGTGAACGGGGCTACCCGTCTTTGGTGGTAGCGACTCCACTCTGTGCCGATGCTGTCTGATGTGATTGTAGCCTAATTTGAAATTTCACGGGGGCCGGGTGTGGGCCTGGGGCCGCCCCCCCCCCCCCCCCCCCCCCCCCCGCCTGCCTACTCCACGCTGCTGCTGCATTTTGAGACCCCCCCCCCACACACTCTTTCTAATTGCCACTGGGATGAATAGGGGAAGGAAATATTTCAGGGCAGCATGGAGAGAGTGTGTGATTGTAAGACAATAAAGAAGCAATTAGGCAGATGAGACACTTGTGGGAGGGCCCAGCCTGTGCCTACCAGCTCTCAGGCTGCTCCTGCTGCACTAGGGTTGGGGGGTGGGGGGGCCGGTGGCACCGATTAGAGCCTCAGGACCCATTTGTCTGGGTTTGTGTTCCGCAGCCGCCCCAGGCAGGCCGCCCTGATCCCCTGTCCCCAACCTCGTAGACTGGCCAGGCTGGGCCTCGGCCCTGTTTGAAGTTTAGGATTTCTGTCCCTGGGGGGGTTTCCCTTTGTATCTCCCCCTGCCACCGTGGGAGATGGGGTGGGGGTGGGGGTCCGGCAGGACGAAATCCACCCTGGGAAGAGAAAAATCTCTTTGTCCCTGAGGGAATGTGTCTCTGTTCCCTGGCTCAGCCCCACGCCCAGGGCGGCTGGTTTGGGGGTGGGGTGGGCTGCTTGTCTGACATTTGGGAAGAAGTGTGCTCGGGCAGCTGGGCCTAGGGGATCCAAGAAGGCCAGCTGGAGGGCAGGATGCCCCGGTGGTGTTGGGGAGGATGGGAGAGTTGGAGCCTGGCCCGGGGGTCCTGGGTTGGCTCCAGGAGGGACCCAACCGCCCAGTCAGAGTTGGTGACAGTGAAACAGCTCCCAGCAGCCGATTCTGGGCCGAGGCCTGGGTTTATAGCATTTTCTTGGCTGCTGGCTGTACGCGCTCTCATCTTATGGACGAGGAATCCGAGAAACCAAGGCCCAAAGAAGTGACTCGCCCCATATCTCTCCGGAGCCGGCCTTCCTGCCTCTGCGGTGCCCCCCCAACGCCGCGCTGCCCCCCGCCCCTCCACCCCATGCTCCACTCTGCCCAACCGTGTCACTCAAGAGAGCCCGCACCCTTGCCCCCTGGGGGCTGATGGCCCCATGGGGCTGCTGCCTGCTGGCCACAGGTTTTTCCAGTTCATGCTCTGCTGACCCCACGACACTCAGGCCAGCCCCCCCTAATTAGCCAGTCAGTCAGCACCGAGGGGGGGTGGGCGAGGCTGAGCCCTACAGAGGCCAAGCTGCACCGCACAGGCCGGCCGCCGCTCGACCCCCCAACACACCGGCCGCACAGGCCGGCCGCCGCTCGACCCCCCCAGCATCCTGTAGCACTCTCACCAGGACTGGGGGAGCAGAGGCGCGGCCAGAGGGGAAATGACCCCTGGGGCCAGGGCTGGGGGTCCAGATGGCTCTGTGACCCTGGGCAGGTTTTTCCCTTCCGGCCTCCTGTCTCAGGAAGGCTGTGGTTGGATGAGTCGGTGCCAAAGAGAGTCTTTTCAAGGATTCTGCCATCGATCGATCAAGGTGGGAAGGTTGATGCATCAGTCACCCTGAGATAAGAAACCAGGTCTGCATCCCGACGCTTCCACTTACTGCTGTGCACTCTTGGGCAACTTACCCAACCTCTCTGAGCCTCTGATTCCTCCTGCACACAGTAGGACAACTCAGCCCCTCCATTCTGCAGCACAGAAAGCTCTTGGCCTATCTCTCCACCTCAGTTCTGGATAGAGCCAGGGGTCCCTCTCTGCCTCCTCAGGCAGGCTCAGATTGTTTCTGGAGGAAGGGGCCAAGATCCTCTCAGGACCCCTCCCCTGGGGCAGGGAAGGCTGGGCTGGGTGTGAGAGAGAGGAAACCTCATTCCCACCGAGAAGCACGGGGTAAGGCTGAGGAACCCAGGCTCTGGCTTTCTGGGCCTGCCCTCCTTTGTCAGGAAGCACCCCCCAGGCTAAGCCTCAGGACCCTCCCTTGCATCTTGGGGTCCCCCCCCCCCCCCCTGGTGGACATGGTCCTCCGGATCTCTGGAGTTAGGAGGCATTCACTAGGGGCTCTGTGTTACCCTCCAGGCGGAGAGTTCCTGTGCACCCCCGTCCCACCGCCCTGGCCCCCTCGGGAGGAGATGGGGAGACAGGGCTTAAGGGATCCGGGTGCCCCCTCCCCCTCTCCAAAAAAAGCCCCGAGACCTGCCGAAGGGAGGGTCTGAAGGCAGATGGTGGAGCCATTTTCTGCCTCCGTGAGGGCTGATTGAAGGGCAATGAGGCAGCTAATGCGAAGAAAGATAGAAATTTACTTGCTTTAACTTCATAGGGCACCGAGTGAAAGAGTTCATTCAGTCGCCGGGCCGCCGTATCTGACGGATGAATAAACCATTTGCGGCATCGATCATGCCTCTACATCATGGTTTAGTTCATGGGCCATTTGCTTCCAATTTCTCCTTCTCAGCCCTGTTTCATGCTTTCTTTCGTCCTCTCTCCCCCCACCCCCACTTTCTCTCTCTCTTTTTTTCTTCCCTCTCTTCCCTCCCCCCAACAACCCCCCCCCCAGATGACATTGGAAGTGAGCCCTCCCGCTGGGTTGGATAAATAGAGGGTATTGATACTCGGCAACAAACTATTTGTCATTTGAACTGGGCTTTTAGGAGGGAGAGTAAAAGAAAGGCAGGCGCCCAGCCACCTCGGAATGCAAAGCAAATGTCACTGTATTTCTATTTAGTTATTTTATTTAATCGGCACTGTCAGGGTGTCGGAAGCCACGCCAGCTGCCTCCGACTTGCACCATGGAGTGCGTGTCGCCCGTCCTGCGGGTCTGTCCACATCCTCTCTCCTTCCAAGGGCAGGCCCGCTCACCAGCTCATCCGTTTGGGGCTTCCTGGAGAAGTGTGGCGGGAGAAGGTCAGGCTGGCAGGTGGAGGTGGGAGGAAGGAGCTGTGGTGGGGGTGTGGGGGCTCTCAGTACCGCTACCCTGTTTTGAGTTCCTCCTGGCTGGGGGCTGGCAGTGTGCCCCCCACCCCCCCGCCGGGCAGGCAGGGAAAGGGGCTGGGAGTCACGTTGGACACCCAGAGACCCAAGCCCTGATTCACTTTGCCTTTTGGCCAAGGGTGGTTGGTCATCGGGCCTGTCTGTGCCGAAGGAATCCAGTGCTTGGCGGACCCAGCCGGGCCTGGGGGAGCTCGGCATTTCTCTGAAAGCACCCGAACCCTGTCCCTATCATTAATGATGCTGGCTATCTCTGGCCAGAGCCCTTGGTGCTGTTTCTTAGCGCTTAGGTTTCTGAAGAGGGTGGGAAACAGCAGGGGGTGATGGAAAGAGCACTAAACAGGGAGTCCAGAGTCCCCACACAGTGAGGCTTCCACACTACTGGGGGCAGGCACCATGGTGTGGTCAAGCCACTTCTTGGCCTTGGTTTTCCACCTGGTCCATGGAGGCTTCGGGTGTAGGGTCCCTAAGGACGCTTTCCCTCTTTGGGTCTGTCTTTGGGGCCAGTTCTGGGTCCTTATTCCCACCGGACAGATGGAAACCTGAAGGGATGCAGCTGGTCCCACATCACACAACAGCTGGGAGGCGCCGGGTCCACCACAGGCCCCTGTCTGGGCTCAGCTTAGAGCTAGAAGGCCCAGCCGTCGCCCTTGCCTGGGACCAAGATGTGCCTAGGGGTGCGGGAGCCAGGGTGGCTGGTCACCTGGACGTAGAGCCAGCAAGTGAAGTGACTACAGGTGAGGGACCCAGGGCACTTCTACTCACCAGGCTTCCTGCCTCCTGGCGGGGGTCGGGGCTCTTCTGGGAGGCCCTACCCGGGGTCCGGTCCAGCTGTCGTCCCCACCTGCAGAGCAGACTGTGGCTCGCACCTGGTCCTCCCTGGCGTTTTCTTAGGTAATGCTCATGTCCAGTAAAAACTATAAAAACTCTCAAGACAGTCAAGGGGAGGTATCCTTTCCCCATTTGCAGGTGAGGAAAACAGGCCCAAGGAAGTAAAGCAACTTGGCCAAGGCCCCACCACCGGGGACCTTGATTTCCTGGCGTGGGGGATGTTTTCGACTGCTCTAAAATCCCGCACATATTTGCAGCTGGCCTCGGGGTTCCCTGCCCTGTACCAGGTCCTGGCCTGCACAGAACGCACTCTTAGTGGGGGGGAGTCCCTCCCCCTAGGCCTGTGTTTCTTCACTTATAGATAAGGTGACAGCACTTGACCTTCTTACCCAGCGGGGCTGCTGTGAGCCCAAAGGAAGCCGCAGACAGACGGAAAGTAACAAGTGAATGTCCACAGGTCTTGAAAGCAAAGATTTAAGGAATGGCCTATCCCAGGGCATCCCAGGTGGGAGCCGCTGGGCCCCGAGGTGCCTACAGCAGAGACCAGAGCAGTCAGGCCGAGAGGTGCCCCCCAACCTCCTTGGTGGCCAGGGTCCAAGCACAGCTCGGGGGGCTCCTGGGCCTTGGGCTTTGGGAGCTGGGAGGGACTTTGAGAGCCCCAGGCAGCCAGTGGCCCCCTCTACACGCTGCATCAAGACGAGAGTCCCGTTTTCCAACACGCCCAAGGAAAAATATACATAAAGGTTGATGTGTTTTCAAATGGGTTTTTGCTTTGCTCTTCTCTTTTCTCCCTGTGAGTATTAACCTCGAGGACCCCGGGGACGGCTCGGCTCGCCGGAGCACCTGCTGGGGTCACGCGTAGTCATTAGCTTTGCGGTCAGTGCAGAATAAACCCCATTTCCCCGCGCCTGGGAGAGCGAGCGCCCGCTCCTGGGAGGCCCTCGGCTGCCTTGCTCCTCCAAACTCACACTCTTCTTGCCTGACTTGTTCCTCCGCTGCTATTCTACCTCCAGCTGTGGGGGCGTCGAAGAAAAAGATGAGATCAAGTTGAGGGGAAAAATTGTCTGATTTCTTGAGCCCTTTGTTTCCCAGGCCCCTGGCAAGTGGGGGCCGGCTTCGGGCTGGGGGCTGGGAGGCCCACGGGTCTGTGCCAGTTAGTGGCAAGTGCCACAACCCGCTGGTTCTGGGGAAGGGGTGCAGATCTCTGCGGGAGGTGGGGTGCAGGGTGTGCGGGGACCTCGGGGCACAGCTTGGCTCTGGACACCCCATCCTCCAGCCTCTTTCTGTCTTTTGTCAGAACCAAGCACCTCCAGGCCTCTACACAAAGACCCAGGACCCTGCCAAAGCCCCCAACAGCCCTGACATCCTTGAAATCGAGTTCAAGAAAGGTAGGTGCCCACCTGTCGGGACTCTTTGCCCTCTGCCTGGGAGCCTGGGCACGAGCCCACTGCATCCCTCCTGTGTTTCTGGAAGCCAGAGCTCAGGCGGGGGCTTCAGGGACTCCTAACCACCCCCTTCCCCGGATGGCGTGGTCCATGGAAGCCTCCAGACTTGAAAGGAAAGCACCTTCAGCCGCCCATCACGTGGGCTCATGGACACCAGGTCTGGAGTGAGAGCATTCCAGTCCCTAAGCGGTCACTTGCCAGTTGCTTTGGGACTTTGGACAGTCACTCAGCTTTCGTGGGCCCCGGTGTCCTCTTCTGTAAACTGGGGATAAAAACACTGGCCGCCTGGCATTTTCACGGGATAGAATGTGGTCTGTAAGGCATGTGTCCTGTACTGGGCCCTGGCACCAAGGAGAGGTGCTCAGTAAATGGTGGGTCTTAGAGAGCCTGCCTCAGGAGCCCCTCTGACCCCCAGCTAAAGCCTCAGCTAATCCTACACCGTAGGACCATCCCTCCACTCCAAGTTCAAAAACTGCCAGTGTTTTTGCTCCCTTTGGCCATGGGTGGGTGTCCTGATCTCCTTATCTCTGCTGCTATCAACAAGATGTATTGCTGGCCTGGCCTGAATGCCCAGTCTTGAGCCTGGCACCAGGCACACCTCTTGCCATGGAGGACGGAGAGGAATGCAAGGTGTGCCTGGTGATGAGAAGGGCAGGACCAGGCTCAGAGTGAAGGCTCAGGGCACCCAAGGGAGGACTTATCCTGACAGCTGAAGAAATCAGGGAGGCTTCCTGAAAGCGGTGGTGCTAGGCAGGACCTAGAGGATCCAGAAGGAGGTGTGAGGTCATCCCAAGCCTGGACAGGGAGGATGGACAGTCCATCCACAGCCGGCTGCCTGGGCTGGAACTGAGCAGACGGAGGGGGACTCGTCCTCTCCCAGGGAACCTCAGGGACCGAGGATGGGGAATGGGAAGTGGGGGTGCAGATCCCTGCCCTCATTCATCCTGCTGTGACCATGAGGCCCCTCTGGGCCTTGGGCTCACTTGCCTCTAAAATAGGCCAAGGAAATGATGTTCACAGGTGTCAAGTATGGTGTGCGGAGTGAGGGGGGCAGGGGAAGTGGAGTCTTTTCGTGTTTGAATAACGTGCCTATTTCTGGCCTTTCCCGAGAGACTGGCCAAACCAGTGGGCATCTCCATGGCTCCCCCCATCCGTTCAAGCCCTGGAATTTCACACCACTTGGAGACTCAAGCGTCCGTGGGCTGAGGCCCCTGACTGGAGCTAGAGCCCCGAATGCCCGCTTTGTCTGACCTGGGCCTGGTCCGCAGGCATGGGGCATCCCCGGGCATCATCTCGGAGAAGGTGGCAGGATGGCCCCCGGTGGCACTTCCGACGGGCCCCCCCCAGGGAGCCTGAGTGAGGGTGGGAAGCGGGCAGGAGGCAGCGGGGGTCCCGGACACAAGGCTCTGGCAGCCTTTCCTCCAGAAATAGGGCAGCCCCAAGGGCTGAGCCAGAGAAGAAACGTGATCCATTTTAATGATTTGGGGACCGTCTGGAAAAAAAAAAAAAAAATAGACAGGAGGAGCCGTCCCCGACTACTCCCATTCACCCTCTAGTTAATTTATTTGAAGTTTTAATCTAATTATTAACTATTTTAAAGGCTAAGAGGCTTTCTCTGGCAGCAGCACCAACAATGTCGGCTCCTCTCTGGGGCAGGCCCCATCCACGGCCCCTGCGAAGGCCATAATAGGACCAGGAGGGAGAGAAAGGGAGAGGGGAGAGGCGGGCAGTGGCGAGAGGGGCTTAAGGTTCATTATTGGGCAGACTTACATTTAATAGCAATTTACAACCAAGTTATAAAACCCCTGGAAATGGGGGTGAAGAATGGCGAGGTGACACGCCTTGAGGGAAGCCCCTCCAAGCGGCGCCTGGCTTAATAAAGACTCGAAAGCCGCTATTGAGGCCTGATTGGCACCCGGTTGCTGGCTACATGGTAATGAGCTGGGCAGATGGGTGGGGGATTATCCGCCAACTTTGAACAGCTTTCCTTTGTCACTGTTACAGCTCTCTTGTTAGCCCCCTAATACATTTATTGCTCATTTCACACCGCTCAAGAAAGTGCCCCTTGCTATTCAAAGTCAACCCTGAACCCACCCACTGCCCCCCTCCCTGCCACCCCCCTTGACTCAGCCCCGCTGCTCTCCCCTCCGCGAGCGGCGGTCGCCTCCCTCCTGCCCTCCTGCCGCCCCAGACCCGACTTCTCAGAATTCACCGCTGCCTCCGACCCCTCGGCTGTGTGAGCCGGCACCGCTGCACCCCAGCCATCAGCTGGCTGGGGCGGTCTGGGGTGCGGGGTCGGGGGCTGGTTGGGGGGCGCTGGGGTCCACCCGACGGCGTGGCAGGGGGCCGCGAGGGCGTGCGTGCATGTGCAAGCGGGGGCGCGCGCGCGCGAGCACGAGCTCCGCGGCACCTCGGCCAGGAGGCCTGGGTAGCTGGTGGGACAGAAGGTGCCCGGCGTAAGACAATGGTGGAGCGTGAAATTCAATTAGTTCAGGGCTGGTTCCAATTTCACAGCCCCTAAATGCAAAAGGGACAGAGAGAATGGGAAGGGTGGGGGGGCACGTTTTTATTGCATTTTCCCTTTCATTCTGGGGGACGTTCTCGCCCCTTCTCTCCCTCCAGCAGGCCCCAACCTGCACAGGGCTTTTCAAGGAGTCATTTGGAGTCCATATCTGTCAGATCCATTTAAGGCGTTGCGGGCGGAGGGAGAGGGCGGGGTGGCAGGCAGCGAGCCCCTGCCCGCTGGCCCACGGCCCTCTCCTCCCGCCCTAGGGGTCCCCGTGAAGGTGACCAACGTCAAGGACGGCACCACCCACCGCACATCCCTGGAGCTCTTCGTGTACCTGAATGAAGTCGCGTGAGTGCCCACGGCCGGCCAGGCCTTCCTGGATGCTAACCACCCCCCACCCCCGTGGCTAGCACTGGCACTGGGAGGGGGGAGGGGGGCCGCATTGTGCCTGATGCTCACGGCCTGAGGCTGGGGGACTGAGAAGGCCAAGCAGCTTTGGTGCAGCCCACAGGCATGGGGTCTCCCGGTTTGATGGGAGCCTCTGGTGGCCTTCAGCCTTGGAAGGTTAATAACCCCCCCTCCCCCACAGGGTCTGCCACCCCTAGGGACGGTCCAACTAGAGCTTCTGAGCTTCCTGCCAGACCTGAGACCCAGACAGCAGGAGAGACAGCAGTGGTTAGGGCTGGTGCCACGCAAGGCCCTAGGGCAGAGCCAACCCTCTGTGTGACACAGGCAGTCCTCTCCCTCCCTGGGTCTCAGTTTCCCCACCTGTCCAGTGAGCCATTGAAGCAGGTGACCTGGCTCTTTTGCGTCTTGGGCCCCGGGATGGTGCCTGACACCCTGAGCAGGGCTCCGGCGTCCTGCCCCTGAGAGCCCAGCCAGGTGGGTGGCGTCTGACCCAAGTTCTCGAAGCAGCCAAGACAGCCCGTGGTTCTCAGGGACCCGTTCTCCCCCCAGGGGCAAGCACGGCGTGGGCCGCATTGACATCGTGGAGAACCGCTTCATTGGGATGAAGTCCCGAGGTGAGTCTGCTCACCGCTCTTGGGGGCGTGTCTCAGCTCCCGGAGACCCCAGAGGCCCTTCAGAATCCCCTCCCATTTGGGTGTTGCTATGGGGGTCACTCTGGGCTCACTCCTTCCCCCACCAGACTCAGTTTCTCCCCTGTGAGGTGAGGACAGTGGGCCCTTCGCCACTGACTCTCAAGGGCACGATGAGAAGCACTGTCCTGAGTGTGCGAGGAGGAACCTGGGGGTCCAGGAGGGGCTCGGAGGAGAGGGGAGGCCAGGGACCGGCCCGGAGGCCGGGCTCTCCTGTGTCCTGGGTGGGTCGGCCAGGTTTGGAGGCTGACCCTGCAGGGCCGATTTCACGGTCATTAAGGCTGCTCTGAGGCGGTGACCAGCCCGGCAGGGCAGGAGTCCCACCAGGGGTGGGCGCTGTGGGCTGTGCTGGCGGTGGGAGCCGGCCAGGGCCCGTCCCAGGCAGGGCACAGGCTAGGTGGGGCTTGGCCTCTGTGTGGAGCCCCTGCCAGGCCTGTCACCGCCTCCTGGATGGACCGGGAGTGAAGAGAGGTCTGGTGCCAGCCAAGCAGGTGCCTCTGTCCTCTCTTATTAACCAGAGCCCATGGGTTTCTGTGGGTCCCTCACCAGGTCATCAGACCACACCCTCCCCTCCCAGACTCAGTTTCCCCGTATGAGGGGATCTCCTATCCAGAGAGCCAATGGCCAGAGTAAGCCCCCTTAGAACAGGGTGCTGGTCTGGGAGACAGGAAGTGGGGGTCCTCACGCAAGCTCCCCCTGCCTTGCCCGATGCTGACCTCTGACTTGTCACCTCTGGGCCCCATTTCTCCAAGTGTGATGTGGTGGCCCTAGGCATGGGGGTCAGATCCTTCTGACTCTGACCTGTTTGGATTTATTTTGAAAGGCGTGGGGAAGGGGGAAATGAAGCGACCACTTTGCCTCTTTCCTGTGAGTTGGGTTTTTTTCCCTCCTCAACACAGCTACTGTCTGTGAAAAGCAACCTAATTGAAACTCTCGGGGAAGGCCTCGTCAGAACAATGTAATTAATCAGCTGCTCCCTTCTGTCCTCCGGTAAACCTTTGCATCCTACCTGTGTTAACATCTGATTAAAGGTCCCTTTGTCTCAGTCTGCCCTTGGGAGACGACGCAGTGTAAATCATGCAAGGCACACCAGAGAGGGTCCTTGGGGAGCCACAGACCAGCGCCTTCATTTTACAGGAGTGGAAACCAAGGCCAGGGCTAATGCCCAGACCCACACAGGCACAGAGTGGAGGCTAAGAGCTAGAACTCTGGGGTGGGGTAGATCTCGGTTCCAGCCCGTGTTTGATCGTGGCATCCGGTGCAGGGGAGATGTCCTATAAACGGCAGTGGCCCCAGGGGCAGGCAGAAAGGTCAGAGGCAGCCTGTGCCCTCTGGGAGCTCAGAGGTGTCCTCGATGGCCCCTGCCATCATGCCTGTCCCCGCGCCATCACTGACTGACTGTGGCTGTGTCCCAGTGGTGCGGGTAGTTACTACCAGTGGACCAGGATTACACTTGTGGTGAAGATGAATTGCCTTGCCGTGTAAGGATGGGCCCGAGGTCACTCCGTGAAATGCCATCCTGCTGGGTAGGGACAGTCGGGTAAACTTGAACTGAAGGGGTGGTGATGAAGGCCTGAGCTAGGCTGTGCCGCGAAGGCTTCCTGGAGGTGGTGGCAGGAGAGGATGCTGGTAGATGTGGAATGGAGAGGATGGATCAGGAACATTCTGGAAGATTGGGAGAGAAGGTAGGGGGTCCCCTGAGGTGGTTTATAAGGGCTGATGGGGACTGAGCCCCTGGAGCCTGAGGGAGACACATGCAGAGGGTCTGGGCTCTGGTGGCAGACGTGAGTCCCCATCTTGGTCCCAGCACCACCGGGAAACTTAGCCTCCTAGAGCCTCGGTTTCTTCATCTGTGAAATGGGTTATTGTATGGATCAAATACAGAGCGCTCTGAATGGTAGACTACTACCTTTTCCCCAGAGCTGGGGGGCGTCATCACCACTGAAGTTCAGAGCCCTGAGATTGGCAGTCAGCTCTGACTCCCTTGACTTCTAACCACCCCCCAAAACCCCACCGAGGGAAAGGTTCCTGGAGCACGGCCTTTGCAGTGCCCAGGTACTCTGTGTGTACCTGTGGGGGGGCTGTCCCTACATGCAGGGAATTTAGCCTGAGGGTCGTACAGTCTTTGGGGAAAACAGGATTCGGACTCCCAGGAGCTTGCTGTGTGACCTTAGCATGTTACTTGCCCTCTCTGTGGCTCCAACTTATCAAAGGTGGGGTGACACCAGGTGATCTTCCCCCGGAAGTTGTAACTGGCCTGTTTTGTTACTTGGATTAGAGGGGTGAGAGAAGAGGGTTGCTTCATGAGTTTAGGGTGATGTCCTGTTTTCATGTCTCTGCTCCAAGGAATCCGTCGTGAGGAAGCTTGAGCAGGCGCAGTAAATGAGGGTGTTGGGGGTGTCCACGTCCCAAGGTTTTTATTAAGCCTACGGTAGTGGGAGAAGCTGTTAATTGTCAATGATATTGAAGGCAGAACAGGAAGATGCTGTTGTCCGCACCTCCGTGTAGGAGGGGGAGATGGCCTTTGTATTGATCTTACAAAGCTCGTAATTGAAACTCGTTAAACGGCTTGTATTTTTTTGGTGGTGGGGGCGCAGGGGGGAGGTGGGTGGGGAGTTGGGCAGTGTTAGTGCCCTGAGTCTGGGGTGGTCACGGGGTCAGAGGGCCAGGGGGCTGGGGCAGCTGCAGATGGAGTAGCTCTTGCTGTATTGTGGCTGTTTGCATGGTCATTATCACATTATCTTTTTAACTCCAGAGGGGGGCTAATTAAGTGAAGTAAATGAAATCAGTGGGGAGGAGAAGGGGGGCAGGGCAGGCAGGAGGGAAGTGGGGAAGGAGCCAGCGCCTGTCCTTCCGCTCACCTTCTCCCTCCTTCTCTAGCCTGCTTGGCTCTCTCCTTAGCTCCCAGCCCTGTCCCTGCTGGTCTCACCTCTGCCTGCTGCTGCCTCTTCCCTCTGTGGACTCCCTCCCCCTCCTCCTCTTTGCCTACTTCTCCTCTTCTCTCCCCTGTCCCTCTCTCTTCCACCCTTCCCATCTGTCTCCCACTCTCCCCTCCTATCTCACTTCCTCCTGACTCTTCCACTTTCTGGCTAGGAAGAAGCGAGGGCTGCCCGCCCACTTACCCACCTGCCTGCCCACCTGTCCAGGCCTCCCAGAGGCTCTGCTCAGATGGAACGTTCCAGATGGGGAGTAGAGGGAGAGCTATGAAACAAAGCTGTCCGTACCCTCAGAGGCCCACCCTGATCCCCAGACTGGGGCCTGCAGGGCACCAGGAGTGTAGAGGATGGCTAGAGACCCACCATGACTTGCCTCCCCATCACCATGGCAACTGCCTCCATCCTCAGCCCTGGTACCCAAGAGGAGAAGCCCTTGGGCTCCAGCCAACCTCCCTTCCCCGGACCTTTCCACATATCTTCCTCTAGATACTGCTTTCCCAAAGGACCAGAGACTCTGGTCTGGGTGCTCTCACCCACACCCCACCCCACCCCGACCCAGACACCAGTGGATTGGCGGATCCCATCCCGTTCTGCCAGATTGTGCTGTCCAGCTAACCCGGCAGCCTCAGGAACAGAGGAGACGGATTTAAGTTGCAGTAGTGTTTTGGTCCCCGCCTCTTCTCCTTGGTCCACTCTCCGCAGCCCCCCGCCACCCCCCAGCTCCTTGCCCTTTTCCCATCCCCCCCTTGGCAGTAATTATGGTGTGATTGAAGCTGTTCCACAGAGAACCGCTGACACCTCTGTCTTTTTCCTGTAAACACGGGGAGATGAAAATAGACACTTGGAGCCACTGTGCGTGTCACCGCGAAGATGTCTGTTGTCTCTTCCACCGCGACAGCGAGACTCACCTGTCATCTCCTCCTTCTTTTTGCGCAGTGGTTTGTATGCCGACTGTCAAAAGCCCCAAATCCATAGTCTTTTAGCATCAGGTTTCTGTCACTGGTTTTTTTAAAGTCATTTTTTCCCAGAAGGAATACACAGAAATCATCTATAGCCCCCTACCCCTGCGGAGAGGGGGGATCTTTCAAATGCTTGCACGTGTACACACACACACACACACACACACAACAGCAGCAGCCTGAAAACAGCTTTTTGATCAGTCACAATTAACTTTAACACCTAAGAAAAGGAGCAGGATTATTAATTGTGTGGTGCATTTGAGGGTTGTGGCTTTTCTTCTGGCCCCCAACACTTCCTGCCGCTGTCTAGGAGGGTGGCCACGATGGCCATGAGGCTGGTTCTGAGTCCACAGGGGTGTGCAGCTCTGCCCACCAGACACTGCTCCTTTCCTGGTGTTCAGCTCTCGTGGGCCAGCAGCAGGTGGCCCTAGGGCAGGTCCTGGCTCTTGCTGGCTGGAAAGTACAGAGGACCTCCCGGCACCCTGCACGCAACCCTTGTCGCCCCTTCTCTGGGCTGCTGGGAGGTGATGCTGTGGAGTTGGCCCTGGTCTCCTAGAAACAAAGCCATCAGCGTGCCCACCACATTAGGGGGACAGTGTGTCCGGGGACCTACCTTCTGGGCAGGTCTAAGTGGAAGAGAGAAGGAAGAGCAGTTTGCTTGGGGGCTCAGAAGGTGCCTGAGGCGGGCCAAGGTCATGCAGCAAACCTGAGCTGGGAGCAACGTGAAGGCGTCAGTTCTCCGAGCCTTCTGGTCCCCAGCCTCAGCCCTGCAAATACAGCTGGGACTGTGCCCCAGGCCTGCCCCAGCTGAAGACAGGAAAGCAAGGAGTCCGATTCCCTGGGAGCTGAAAGCAGAAGGGCTCCAGCTCTCAGCCTGGCCAAGCTGGCGCTGTTGAGAATGTCCGTGCCAATATACAGACAGCCTTCAAAAGTTTCTGGGTTTTTCCGAGAGGTAGCAAAACTAAATCATTAGACGGCCTGTCTCTGATTCAATAAATAGCTCTTAATCTGTGCTGGGAAGAAAGACCTGTAAGCTTCTGTCCGTGTGTCTTGCTTTAGGTGGCTCGTGGGGAGTTACTGTACTTCTGGCGATGAAATTTCTAGGAGAGTTGAAAACTTGCCCTTTAACGTGGTGGTTGGTCGCGTCTGCCATGCTGAAGGCAAACATTTCTAAATGTTCTGCAAACGTCTTTGTAAACAGGTGGCTGAACCATTGGGCCTTTCTCTGTGGCCTGGGGCCAGCGGGAGCCACTTGCTTGTGGCTCCTTCCTGTCCCCTCCCAGAAGGAGCCCTGACTTCTGGGCTGAGTTTTTGTAGGTTTTCCATGACTCCCCATTTTCACGCTCTTGGCTCTTCTCAGTCTTCCCTCCATCTCCGCCTCCAACCGCCTTTCTGGGTTGGGGCTCCCAGGCGCTCGGTGGAAACAGATGACAGAGCCCCTGTGAACTGTGTTTGCAAGAGTGACAAGGAGGTTGAGCCAGGGCCTGAACCTTGCCCCAGGACTCTGGGCTTGGGGCCGGTGCGTGAACTTGGTACATTGGTGTTTTTCCTGCTGGGGAGGCCATTTGCCCCCACAAGGTCACAATGGGATTAGGACAGCAGATTGGCCCAAGAGCCACACTAATGAAACGGGACAGGCTCTTCTGTGGCATGTCCTAATTCTAGCAGTGCCTGGTCTGCGGGTGGGGCTTTAACACATGTGTCCCCCCTCCCCGAGACCAGGCTGTCAGGGGTTTGCGGATAAGAGACTCAGCCCCTAGAGAGGCTCGTTCCTGCTCGGGAACACTTCAGAGCTAGGGTGGGAGCCCAGGCTGGTCCTCCTTGGTTCCCCAGATTTGCATGCCCGTCCATGACCTGGGGAGCGCAGGATCGCTTGGCCAAAGGATCTGAGGGGCAACCTGAAGCAGGGAAGGGACAGCCAGATGCTTCTCCCACCGACCTTGAGCAAGTCACTTCTCTCCCAGGACTTCAGTCTGTCTATCTGTAAAATTGATGTCAGGGCCAGACTGGCATTTTAAGGACATCTTGGTGGAGCCCGGGCTCTGTAGAGAAGCCTCTGCTCCCCGTGGCGGGGCCTGGGCTCTCTGTTCTGTGTGTGGGCTTCTGCCAAAGACTGAATAAGGGGTTTGCAGCTCCAAATTAGAATGGGGGACCCGTGGTCTGAAAGGACCTGCGCTGGCGGCTGACATTTCTCCAATTCCCAGAGTGGAAGACGGAAGACTGGAAGGTTCTTTAGAGGAGGATGAGTGACCGCACCCTCAGCCATGTCCAGGGGGGCTTTGGGCTCCAAGGTCAAAAACAATCTCCTTCTGATTTGGGGGGAGGAGGGAGCAGATGGTTAAAAACTTCTTTTTTTTTTAATTGTGGTGAAATGTACATAACATTGACCATTTTAGCCATTTTGAAACCTGCGGTTGAGGGGCAGGAAGTACGTTCACACGGTTACGCAGTCGTCATCCCCAGAAACCCCCAACATTCTGTCTTCCCCAACTGAGAGCCCCCCCAGGTAGCCCCCATCCAAGCAACAACCTCCCGTTGCCACCTCCTCCCCACCCCCCGCCCCCACCATCCCACGTCCGGTCTCCATGAACTCCATGACTCTGGGGACCTCATCGAAGTGGAATCGGGCAGTATGTGCCTCCCCGGGCCCAGCGTGCCGCTCTCCAGGTCCGTCCCCATTGTGGCAGGTGTCAAGAATCCCCTCCCTCTTAGAGGCCGAGTAACAGCCTACCTGTTACGTGACTGTGCCACATCCTGTTGTCCGTTCAGCTGGTGATGGACATTTTTGTGGCTCCCGTTTTGGCCGCTGTGAACAGTGCTGCTGCGGTGAACGCGGGTGCACAGATCCTTTCTGATTTCTAAAGCAGCCAGTGTGGAAGGACTGATAAATTTTTGGGATCACTTTAAATGTGCCCCTTTACCGCTATAAACATGATGTGGTGGGAAGAAAGGAAGCTTTCAGAGTCGCATCGGTGGGATGGGGACCGTTCCTGCTGTTCTCCCATAGGAAGAGCGGACGCAGGGCGGGTGTGCCCATGGTCCACTCAGCGCGCTCCCCTGATATATTCGAGAGGGTCTGGCCGTGTGCGCATGGGCAGGCCTGCCTCCTCGTGCCTCAGTGTCCTCAAATCCGGTGTGGGACTCCTCATCAGATCTCCCTCCCAGCCAGGACTGTGCTTAGCTCAGGGTCACTTTGGAGACCACCCCTCCCCCTAGGTCCAAGCAGGCTGTCTAGGAGGTAGAGACACAGGGCCCTGAGGTCATCGGGAGGGGGCTCGAGCAAGACCCTCCTCCCGTGACCTTCTGGGAGGGGGCAGCAGCCAACACCGGTCAGGAACTTGGCGCCTCCATCCAGGTCCCAGCTCCACGCCGGGCCCGTTCTGTCTCCTCCTGGGCTCGGTTTCCCCATCTGCACGTGGGGTCGGGGTGGGAGCCCGCCAGGGCCCCGGCGGCCCAGAAGTCAGGGTGTATCTGCAGAGACATGTCTGGCAAGGGAGCCGCCGGCTGAAGGTGGCATGTGTGTGTACACACGTGTGTGCATGTGTGTGCAAGTGTGTGCACAGCTGTCCCCTCCCCTGGCTCCCCAGTGGAAGGGAGGAAGGGATATTTGGGGCCCTGGGCTCCACCGTGGTTGGTTTAATTACAGGTTTTCAGCCGCGGGCCGGTGGGCATGCGTTGGGAAGGAGGGGGGAGCAGCTCCGAAACCCTGTCATTTTCCAGCGTCTGAGGGCCTCTTCAAAGGGGGGCATCCAGACATTTTCTCCACAAGCCGCAGAGTGGACTGTCGTGGCCCCAGCATGAGCATAATGACAGGCGCATTTTGCAACGCGCCGGGAGTGAATGGGTCCGACCGGCTTGTCTCCTGTCAGACAAGTCATTATTATTTTTTTTTTTTTGTCATTTGCTGACAGTTTGGGTTTCATGCGTTTCTCTCTTTTTTCTCCTTTTCCCCCTGCCTGGAAAAATGGCTAGGTATCTACGAGACCCCAGCAGGGACGATCCTTTACCATGCTCATTTAGACATCGAGGCCTTCACCATGGATCGCGAAGTGCGCAAAATCAAACAGGGCCTGGGCCTGAAATTCGCTGAGCTGGTGTACACAGGTGCGTAGCCCACCCCCCAGGTGGACAGCACCCTCCTCCACTCCCACCCCGCCCACGGCCGTCCTCACAGGAGCCCGACAGGGGCAGGTTGGAGGGGGTCGAGCCAGGGCAGGAGACAAGGAGTTGGGGGGGCTGACGGCACCTGCCTCCTTCACTTACGGGGTGTGGAGTCCCCAAGACAGCCGGCTGCCTCTGCCCCCTGTGATTTGCATGACTTGGGCAATGTCACCCCTCGGGTGGCCCACTGTGACCCAGCATGAACCCTCTGGGGACACGAGCTATCCCGGGGGTACCTCCCAGCGTTCCTAGGAGAGCAGCAACCAGCCCCTTCTACAGATGAGGAAATGGAAGGCTCAGGGCTAAAGGACCTTGTTCAAAGTCACACAGCCGGAGTGGCCTAGCTGGCTTTGACCCCAGGCTGGGCTGGGACCAGGCACAACCTGGAGCTGTCACAAACAAGGGAAAGCCTGCCTTGACCAAGAACTTGCCCCCAGGCCTGGGCATTGCCTGAGCCAGAGGTAGCCCATGCATGGAATGACATTAGCACATGGTATGGGGGTGGTCCCACGTCACAGGTGAGTCAGTGCCATATCTGTCACAGGTCTGGAATCCAGGGCTCCTGACTGCAAACCCATCCCTCATGCCGTGTCACAGGGGTCCCCAGATCCAGTCCATGGCCTGTTTTTGTTCAGCACGCAAGCGAAGCCATGGGTTTTTTTACACATTTTTAAAATGGTTGGGGGGAAAAACTGTTTATTTTTTTTTAAGATTTTATTTATTTATTTGACAGACAGAGATCACAAGTAGGCAGAGAGGCAGGCAGAGAGAGAGAGAGAGGAGGAAGCAGGCTCCCTGCTCAGCAGGGGCTCGATCCCAGGACCCTGGAATCATGACCTGAACCGAAGTTAGAGGCTTTAACCCACTGAGCCATCCAGGCGCCCCGGAAAAACTGTTTATTAATACTATTTCATGTCCCATGAAAATGATAGGAAACTCAAATTCCAGTGTCCATAAATTGCATCTTGGGCATGGCCACGGGCACTGGCTTACATGTTGTCTGTGGTCGCTTCTGAGCGACAAGGGCAGAGTTGACAGAGACCACATGACCTGCTGAGCCTAAAATATTTACTGTCTGATCCTTTCCTGAGAATGTTTGCTGACCCTGCTCTGTCACATGAGAAGTCCTATCAAACGGTCCCTCTGAGTTGTGGTGGGGGGACAGGCTGCCCCGAGGCCTGGACATTGGGGAGACTGGGAAAGTGCATATTCATAATCCCGACCTGGGATAAGCCTCCACTGCCCTTGCCTGGTCCTCTCCTCCCCTCGGAGGTTTTATTTCCTTTGAAAGCTCCTAATCACTGTAACTCATCTTGGGATTTCAAGGGGACTCGGTGGTTATTGGCTGGTGATTTCTCCCTCCCATTGTATCTGGCAGCTTTGAAGCTGCCCCCCGCCCCCAGGTACAGACAGGTGTTTAAATACCATTGTCTCCTGCAGGCGCTCTTGCCCAGTGGGGTTTCAGCAGAAAGGGGGATTCTGGTTACAAAGTAGGAGAGTCATTAAGCATGGCGGGCCCATAGGAGAGAGCACCTGGGCCGGCCAAGTGGAGGCCGGCGTGACAGTCGTGCTGCAGGACTCTGAGCTAGGCACTCACCAGCATTACCTGATCTTAGCTGCACCAAGGCGAAGAAGCTGGGCCCCAGGCAGGCCAGGACACCTGAATAAGGTTGCATGGCTGATGGGCTGGGGCTTGGAGCCCAGGACAGGCCAGCTTCGGAGGCCAAGCCCTCGACCGCTCCAGTAGACCCAGTGGGCGGCGGGAAGGTGGGCTGGGGCCCTTAGGAAAGGGAGATCAAGGGGTCCCTCGGTGTCTGGGGAACAGCTTGGCCCGCCGGCTCAGTGCCTCTACACCTGACTGCCGGGGTGGAATCCTTGTTCTGTTACCCACTGAGCCCTCCAAATCCCCAAATAAAGTGGAGTGATTAGGAGCTTTCAACGGATTATTGATACTCGCCTTCCCAGGTACCCCTGATGTCATCAGGCCCCTGTAGATGTCCGCTTGGCCTCGGGCAACAGCCTGTCCCTGGCACAGCTTGGAGGGGCTGCCTGATGTGCTTTCTCACGTTAGGGAGACATGACCATTACCGAGCGGGTTAAGCTAGTTAGTGAAGTTCCCTGTGCCTCCGTCTCCTCATCTGCAGAGTGGGGATCGTAAATGTACGCGTCACACAGGGAGGACTAACTACATAAACATTTGCGAAAAGCATCTAGAACTGGGAGGAATGCAGTTTCAGTGTGGGTTGATAAATTACAAAGGCCTGGAGTGGTTTCCGAGGCTGGAGTCAGGGACCGGAGACCTTGCCTTGGGCTGGGTTTATGACCTCGACTGGGTCTGTCTACCCTGAGCCTCATTTTTCCTCCTGTAAAATAAAGGGCACCAGGCCAGATCTCTTCTCGCCGCTCTGCTGTGACACTTGGCTTCCTCGGAAACACAGATAGGGAGACTGAGGCACAGAGAAGCCCTTCTACCTCGGCCCCACAGCTAGATGCCCTGTTCATCATCCTGTCCTCTCCCCATCCCCACGTTTCCCTGAGGGCTTACACGGACCCCTTTCCCCCAGCCTGTGGGTCCCAATCCGCAGGGTCACCCTGGCAGGACCCCAGCTTCAGGACCCATCTCCTCTGGGGCACATAGCTCACCTCCTCTCTCGGCTGTTTCTTCAGCAGGAGAATGGGGTGACACACAGCTGGTACAGAGAGGGCTGTTGTCCTGATCAGCACAGTGCTTGGCCCACCCCAGACCCAAGATACCCATGCAACATGCCAAGCTCCCTCTCCCTCTCCCCAGGCGGGGTCTGCTGGGAAAAGAAATCTGAGTGCAAGACCCCCGTGCAGGGGAGGTGGGAGATCCTGAGATAAAGCCCAGGCCAGGTGCTCCCACGTGGGTTTCTGCCCACCCCCCCTTATCTCTGGCTCCATCTCCTCCCTGTCTTCCAGGCTGAGAGCTTAATGGTCTAATTATCCTGACTTGGCAAGGCCAAGCCACTGAGGCATGGCGGGGTCTGGGGGCCATCAGTGTCCCCTCCCATGGGGGTGCAGCCCAGAATCAGGAGTACTTTTCAGGATCTCACTGTGGATGGGGACACCTCTCTGGGTGCCCGTCTCCCTGTATACGGGGGTGGGGGGGCTGGCGGAGGCCATATTCAGATCTCGAATTTAAAATGCTTAATGCTCAGCCTGCATCCCATCCGGGAATCCAGCTACCCCCCGACCCGGAGGGTTAATAATATCTCACTGAGCAAGTGAGGAACCCAGGTACAAAGGGGGTACATTGCCTGTCAGTGTAGAGCAGGAGGCCAGAGGGTGGGGACCCAATCTCCTCTCTCCCTGCCTGGCCCTCCCCCAGCCCTACAAGCTGCCAGACCCTATCCCAGGGAAGGCCTGCTCCCCTTTCCCACGGAGAGCCTCCGTCTGCAGGTGCCCCCCGGAGGCCGCGCCTCCAACAATAGCCCTGGCCCCGGGGCTGACCTGGCCCTTTATCAGGGCAGGAGATCGTGCACCATCTGGCCCCACAGCTGCCCAGGTGGGCTCACCTTCCCAGCTCCGTTTCAGGGAAACTCTACCCCTCAAGCTGACCCTCCCCCAGCCCTGACCACGGCCCGCCTGCCCACCACAGAGACTAGAGAGGAGATGGCTGTCTGCACGGCTGAGCCCACTGGTGCAGACGTACCGGCCCCGGAGCAGCCGGGAACAGAGCACACAGCCTTCAGGGCCTGAGGGCTCTGGGGGACAGAGTGTGGGTAAGGGGCAGGGGCAGGGGGTAGCATAATCCCCAGGCACCTTGCATACTGACGGATGTTCCAACCACAGGAAAACTCCCAGATTATCCTGTGAGGCTGAGCTGTTTTTTTTTTTTTTTCTTTTATAGATTTTACTTATTTATTTGATAGAGCATAAGCAGGGGGAGTGACAGGCAGAGGGAGAGGGAGAGGCAGGCTCCCGGCTGAGTAGGAAGCCTGACTTGGGGCTCGATCCCAGGACCCTAGGATCATGACCTGAGCCGAAGGCAGATACTTAACCCACTGAGCCACCCAGGCGCCCCTAAGCTGAGCTGTTCTAATGTAGGTCCGCCCCGGGCCTCTCACTGCAGCCTGTGTGTGATCTTGGAGAAGCCTCAACTTCCCCAGCTCTTACCTGCTCGCTCAGAAAAGAGAGAGGCGAAAAGGGTTTTTCTCGCAGGACTGTTTCTGATGATGCAAAGAGCTGGTCCGGGGGAAGAACTTAGCCTGCGCTTCATACATTCAAGAACTTGCATAGGAAAATATTAGCAGCCTGTAGACCGTTTACGGACATCCGGGCAGGGAGCAGAGCCGGGGGCTCTTCCTGTCTCTCAGGCAGGACGCCAGCAGGGCCTCCACATCCAGTAAGCCTACTCACTGGTCCTGGGAGGGATGCTGCGTCCTCGCCACTCCGTAGATGGGGAATCGAGGCACAGAGCGGTGAAGGCCACATGCTCATGGTCTTTCTGACCCTGAACCACCCACCCAGCTGCCCCTGCTGGGTGCTCCCATCGCTCAGCCTGGGCTCACACACACGTCTGAGTCTTAGCAGAGCTCTCCTGCCCCACAGCTGTCTTCAGGACCCGAGCCCCCGTGGGCAAACAACAGCATCCCTTCCCGGCTGTCTTCCCAGGGTCTGGCCCACTGTGGTGCCTAAACACGTGGCATGAGGCTGAGGTTACCTCCCCTCCTCCTGAGCCTTGGGTGGTGACTGATTGCGAGGGCCGGGAGGGCCCTCCTTACCCACAGGAGACCTGCAAGGTCACAGACAGGCACGCAGGCTCATTCCTTGATGCAACTGTTCACCAGTGTGCTTTGGGCCAACGGCCACCCCCGAGGTCCACTGTGATGGGCTGAGGCTCGGGGTGCCCTCCCCGGACTCCCAGTCCTGGGCCCCAGCACACTGGGCCTCCCTAGCTCCCTCGCTGTTTTCCTCCCCGCAGGTTTCTGGCACAGTCCCGAGTGCGAATTTGTCCGCCACTGCATCGCCAAATCCCAGGAGCGCGTGGAAGGGAAAGTGCAGGTGTCTGTCTTCAAGGGCCAAGTGTACATCCTCGGCCGGGAGTCCCCGCTGTCCCTCTACAACGAGGAGCTGGTGAGGTAGGTGCCCCCCGCCCCTGGTCCCCCCGGCTGAGGAACAGACTGAACTCATGGCCAGCGTCGCTTCTGACCAGCTTTCTCCACAGAGACGCGCCTAAGCACGCACGGGGTGCAGGGGAGACAGTCACCAGGGGAGTCGATGCTGCCTCTACCCCTGGGCCTTCCAAAGGCACCTGTCAAACCGTCACCTGAACGTAGAATTAGGCAAGATGGTGTCGGGCTGTGTAGAGGCGAGGGAGAGGCTGGCTGGGTATATAATGGGTGTGGAGAGGCTTCCCTGAGGAGGTCACCTTGGAGCCGGGCTCCCAAGGACAGGAGCTAAGCAGGTGGAGAGGAAGCAGGAGGTTTCCAGGGGTACGGACATGTGCGGAGGTTCTGGGCCTTGGAAGAACATTCCAGAACATCCCAGGCAGAACAGGAACGCCAGGAGCCAGACCCCAGAGCGTGAGGGTCCTGGGGCCAGATCTTAAAGCGATGGAGCCGTCAGACCTGTGCTTTTTGAGCTGCTCTGGCCACTCTAGAGAACTGATTTGGGCGAGGTGGGCGTGAGAGAAACAGAAGGTTTGACAACTGGTTAAGAGGTTAAGAGTGGAAAGGGCTTGGATCCGGAGGGAGATGAAAAGGTATGGAATCGCCCGGCATACGCAGCTGGGCCCCCGTGGGTGGCAGTTCCCAAAGTGAGGGGGTTCTTGAGGGAGATCCTCCATGTGGGCTCAGACCCCTTGAGGTTGAGTCATCTTGGAGACAGACCAGGAGGGTATCTGGCCAGCCCGTGGACACACAGGTCTAGAGTGGAAGAGAAAGTGGGGGGAAGACAGGGCAGGGTGGCAGACATCTCAAGGTTTCCCGAGGCCAGGAGGAAACTGGCTGGGGAAGGGAGGGTCAGAGTGAGCCTGGAAGGGAGCCAAGGAGGGGACTTGAGGCCACGCCAAGGATGTTGCCAAGGCCCCGGGACAGTCAAAGGCAGCCCGAGCTCTTGAACTGCGCCTACACTTGTGCACGAGAGTGTGGCCTTCACCGAGGACCACAGCATCCCCTTGGGAGGTCACCCGGCCACACAGGAGGTGGGGACCGACAGCCCCACCTGACGCAGGTCCCAGGCCCAGCTTAGCCCCGGCGCCGGCCCGTTGGGAATTAGCGGGCGAGTTTTGTTTGGCGGTCAATATTATTTCCCTCCTTCCCGTCCTCGCCGCGTTGAGCTTCTCCCCCCTTCCATCTTTCTAAACATTTTATAAGCCATAAATATAACCGAATCAGTTTAGATCAGTCGGGGTAAATGTCAAATTATCTTCTCTCTTTCTCTCTCTGGCTCTTTCCTCCCTCCCCCTCCGAATCAGCAGCCTCTAATAATCTGCCCAACCCTTCATTAAACCTTACAGCCTCACTCAGGGAGATTAAATGAAGAAAGTAAAAAGGGGAAGGAAAAAAAGAGAGAAAAGCAGGCGCATTTATTCTCACTGTGTCTCCGACCATTTCCCCTTTCTTTTTGATTTCTACATCGCTGACTTGAAAGCCCTTGAGTGACAGCCTCGCAGGGACCAGCAAGGAAGCCGCGAGAGGTAACAGAACTGGAAATGCCGTGGCACAGTAGGTAGAAAGTAACGTAATTATAGAGCAGGTCAGAGCCACTCGAATGAGCAAAAATAAAAGCACAGAGGTTTTCTGTAGACCGTCAGGGGAGGTAAAAAAAAAAAAAAATCATTGTAAACTCTTTTTCCACCACCCCCCCCCCCCCCACCACCATCCCAAACCACAGTTTTAAAGAGAGGTTTCTCAGCTCCCGAGAAGCACCTCTGGGAGGCCTTCTTCAGCCTCGCACGCGGGACAAGCGTGTCCCTGGAAGTGGGCCTCTCTCTGCGGGGGCCGCTGGGGTGTCCGGGGAAGGGAGCTTGAAAGTTTGTTTTGACAACGCGCGCATGAGATGGCAGTGAAAAGGCAGATGAGTGTGGAGCGGAGCTGGAAGGGGCCCTAAGCCCTGGCTTCTCCCTGAGCAGAGCGCAGGGATCCTTCCGAAGGGGACGGGTGACGCGGACAGTGGCGGTGTGTGCCACAATTTGATTCATGTGGGGAGGGGTAGGCGTTCGCGTCCAGAGTGAGGTCCGTAAAACGGAGCTGCAGAGGCTTATGCCTTAGTTTGTCCGGCTTTTTCCTCCGCCCCCTGGGGGGTGCCAAGAGGCAGCCCCTCGGGGGTCCGGCAGCTTCGCCCTTCCAGGGGACTTGCTGGTCTACTCCTGGTGGCTTGTGCCACCTGACACCTGGAGGGGCCCGCGGAGGTGGGGAGGAGGAAGGAAGGGGTAGGTGTTCATGGGCAGCTTCACGGGCCCCACGAAGGGCAGGGCCGGGGTGTGGTGGGGCTAGGGCACCAGAGCCCACGTCCTGAACAAGCCGTAGGACAGCTGAGCGCCGAGACCCCACTTGTGGTTGTAAGAAGTCCACAGTCCACAGAGCCAGCCAGAGGCACAGCCTTAGGGCCTCAGGGGGAAAAAAAATTAGCAGATTCCCCTCTGCCCTCCTCCTCCCCAATCTCACCTCTCTGAGAAGGCTCCTGAGGCCGCCTTGTCGTCGAGAACCTTGAGACTGCTTTGTCCTGAGGCTGGAATTCTGGAGATGCGAGGACAAGGGGCTCATTCAGAGCAGGACGCGTGAGAAACAGAGGAGGGACCCCTCCCCACCAGAGGCTCGGAGGGTGGCCGTGAGATGCCAGATCTGGGACCACAGTGCCCTTAACTTGTCCTCAAAGAGTTTATCCCAGCTGCGATTAAGGCTGATGATGGGTGACGGTTTGCTGACTTCTGCTGCCCCAACACGCACCGTGGGCCCTGTTTTCGTCTTGCTCCTGCTTCCCCGGCACCTGCAGACCATAGGTGCCTAAGAAGGGCCCGTATAAGTGAATGAGTGAATGAAAGACACGAGTCCTAGTGCACATGTGCCAGATGTGGCAGGTACATCATTTCCCGTGGGGCCGGCGATAACTCCAAGAGACCCATTTGGCAGGTGAAAGCTCGAAGCTCAACGAGCAGGAAGGGGTACCCTGAGCTCTGCGGCGGGAGGGGTGGCAAAGCCTGACTGGAAGGACTGTGGTTGGGAAGGGTTTCCCGAAGGATGGCTAAGTGAAAACAGCCCCGAAGGTGAAGGCTGTCGAATCCGGAAGATGGCACTTGTAGACGGGGAACATTTGTAACAGCGGCGGCTGACCAGGCCTTTCTTGGGGCTGGCCGGCGTGGGGTGGGTGCCAGGTTCGTGGACGGATCTCCGTGCTGGCGGAGGGGGGAGCCAGCACTGAGTGCTTCAGGGGTGCTGTCACAAGTCCGAGGCTGTCCCGGGGGCACCCCGTGGCCTCCTGGGCCTTTGGGCCACTGGATGCCATCAGCTGTTGCTGGAGATGCCTGAAGGCAGAGCTGGCTCACAGGTGTGTCCTCATTGGAGGATTTCGGCCACTGGCGCTGGCTGAGCTGGATGGAACCCCACCTGCCCATCCACGGAGCAGGGCTGAGGCTCCCTGCTCTCCAGCGCTGGGCACGGTGCCTTGCCCATAGTAGGGCTCCTGAATTGGACAGAAAGCCATGAGAGACCAAAGTTTGGGTCAAGCCGGCCAAGATATCCTGGGTACTTGCGAGCCTGAGCTGTCGTCCCTAGCCCCGGAGAGCCCCTGCCTCCGGAAGCGAAGCCTAGGGTGTGCTGACCGGCTTCTCCTCTGTCCGCAGCATGAACGTGCAGGGTGACTATGAGCCAGTCGATGCCACTGGGTTCATCAATATCAATTCCCTCAGGTGAGCCGCTCCCTCTGGTCTTCAGACCCCCCAGGTGCGGGCAGCAAGCTCTGATGGGACCTCGGCTGCTCCGACCGCTGTCCCGTCCTGGACAAACCCCGTCTTCCTGTTCCTCTGCCCACAGCATCTTCAGTGCCTGCTTCAGGCCCAGCCTGCTCCTGTTCTCAGAGGGGCAGAAGGCCTAGCTGGAAACTACCAGAAGCCTGGGTGCTTGGGTTCCCTGTTTCTGGGTCCTGCTCTTTGCCTCAGACACACTCCCACCCCGTCTAGCTGCAAGGACTCTACCAGGAGCCCCTTGCCTGGGCAGGTTTAGAAAGGCAGATGGCCCAGAGGTAGAAATGGACCTCAAAAAGTCATCGGGCCGGAAGGCCCCTCGTGCCTGTCACCATACCTGGGCTACAGATCAAGCCGGAAACCATCCTAGCTATGTGGATGCCCATGGCCTGGTGGGGTAGCACGCGTCGTCTGCAGCCACTCAGACCTGGGTTCAGATCCTGGCTCTGCAGGATGGTCTCAGACCCCTTCCGGACCCCTGGGAGCACAGGTGGGGATACTGACCCTAGCCACCTCGCAGGTGTAGCAAAAGTTTGCATGAGTCCCAGGACATCAGCCCCGCACTCAGCCCAGACCCTGGACTGAAGGAAGAGCTCATGTGCTCAGCCTAGGTGTAGCCCGGGGAGGGGATGGGCACGCACAAGGGCAAACAGGGTTATTTATGACCAGTGGCTACGATACACTAACTTCCAGCCACTCTCCGGGGTTGCCCTGAATTCTTACACAAATTTGCAACCCCAGAAACAGGCCCAGAGTGGTTAAGTAAGCCGCCCACAGTCACACAGCTAGGAAGCCTCGGCGCTAAGTCCAGAAGGTGTGTCTGTCCAACTCTTGAGTTCTGAGTCACCAACTTCCTTCTCTCCGGGCTTGGCGTTGGGAAGAACGCACGAGTCTCTCTTGTCTCCTGAACACATGTCCTGGGCACAGAGCCACCATTTTGTCCCTGGAGCCAAGAGACACTGAATCCAGCCTGACCTTCCTGGGTGCTCTCCTTTTCCAACAATCACCTCCACCTACCCCGCCTCCTTCGCCCTCTGTATTTTATGACTATAAACCCTTTTAAATGGCTCCGAACATATTGGGTTCTCATAATGGCCTCTTCAACGCTCCCATTGCCAGTTAAATGCTTTGTCTTCAACAATGCCAAGCAATGTTTTCCCCTAAAGATAAATTAATTACATTATCCTGTTTGGAGGGCGGGAGGGGCCAGGGCAGGAGCGGGAACAGAGGGGGAGAAGAAAAGACAACTTCACACACATCTTAACTAACAGCTGCCCCTGCCACCCGGGTTCTGCCTGAATTAATTGAACGGAGTGCATGTTGTTATTGTTAATTTACATTTTTCTTTGTTTTCAATCTGGTTTACAGGCTGAAGGAATATCATCGCCTCCAGAGCAAGGTCACTGCCAAATAGACCGGCTGACGATGAGGAGCCAGGCCTCCTCCTTTGCCCATCTCCCAAGTACAGGCGCTAATTGTTGTGGTAATTTGTAATTGTGACTTGTTCTCCGCGGCTGGCGGCCTAGTGGGGGTGCCAGGCCCCAGCTTTGTTCCCTGCTCCCCGGTGGCCTGCCAAAATGGTCATCAGAGGGAGGGGCTGGGGCGGCCGCAGTGGGGAGGTGTAAAATGACAATTAAAAAAGGATACATGAGATTGTTTCCTTATTTCTGCAGCAAGGGTGTGTGTGCGTTGTCAGTCTCGCTCTTCCCACACCGACCTTTGTGTTTTCTGAGTTAAGCGCTGCCAGACCCGTCTTTTCAGGGGAACCTGTTCCTCTGGAAGGATGCGACACTTTCTCCCCCAGCAAAACCCAGGGGACCCAGATACGCGCCCCTGGGTCAGCCTGGCATTTTGTCACCCACTGTGGCCCCGTGCCGCGTCACGGGAACCAAGGAGAGTTTGGGTGACATGCTGGAGAGCTGTCCTTCCGTCGCCCACGGAGAACAACCGGCAATGGCGGCCATGACGGACCCCACGAGACTCCCCCCACCACAGCACAGCGGCCTTAAGTAGCCTAAGTTGTGGAGGAGGAGGAGCCCCCAGTAAGAAGAAAAGCCTGGACAGAGAACAGAAAAGGACAGGCACAGCATTTAAACCCATACTCTTGGGGGGAAGCCACCCGGCCTACAAGGTTTCCGCTACTGCACCTCCACCAACCAGCGCCCAAGGCCGCCATGTTGGTGCAGTGACTCCGCCCCCGCAGTCATAGCTCATTGGACCGTGACTGGGCACCTGACCCAAGCTGAGCCAATCAGAATCTCACTCCCAGGAACTGGACAGGGGCAAATAGCCGGAAGTGAGCCCAGGTGTACTTGGGCAGGATAGGATGCCCAGTACCCAGGGAAGCAGAGAGAGGAGGAAGGAGGGAAGAGTGGGTTCCAGGTTTAGAACCCCAGTTCTCATCCTGGTATGAACTGTGGTGCTGGTGGCATTTTGTTTTGGCGACTCCGTGCCCACCGCAGAGTCCAGCGCAGGGCCTGAACTCAGGTTCCAAGATCAAGACCTGAACTGAGATCAGGAGTCAGACACCCCACTGAGCCAATCAGGCGCCCCAGTGCTGGTGGCATTAATGGTGGCATTTCTCCATCCGGATTCTGTAAGACACCCTGGGGTTCTCATAACCAGTTGTCATTTAGGGCTTAAGCTTGATGAGGGAGTTCCTGATTCTTGGAACCAGAAGCATCTTTACTGGGAAGACTCAAGTGCTGGTTATTCTGGGCCCCGCCCTGGTTCTGATCACTGTACTGCCTTTGTCGATGAGGGTTTCTTTCCAAACAGGTTATGTCTTGAAAACGTATTTTTCTCTAATTATAAAATTATAAATGAACTACTCGATATTAATTTTGCCAAACACTTTGCTGTACATTTTATGCACATCATCTCACTTGCTCTCCAAAACAACACTGAGGTAGAAACTTCCATCTCCATTTCACAGAGCAGGCAACAGATGCTGAGAAATTGATTTGCCAAAGGCCACTCAGCTAGCACGATGACAGCCAAGAACCAAACCCTGGCCTGGCTGACCCCCAGAGCCTTGTTTATGTCCTGAATCCTCATCATGGGCTTCATCTTACTAAAAAAATTAAAATCTTATGGCCAAAATGATCAGCCATCAGCTTAGCCTCCCAGTTACAAACATTGCTTACACTTAGTGTATTTCTTTATGATCCTATTTTTCTACACTTATAAATATTTTTGCAGAATTCTTTAGGTTAAAGTACTTTAAAATCAGATGTTGCACTGTGCTGTAAAATGCTAACACTATGTCATGAATGGTTCCCCACATCATTAAATCTCTTCTCAAACACAACAGCTACATAATATTCTGCTATACTGGGAAAAAAAAAAAAGATTAAATCACTCAACTTTTTCCCAATTATAGATTTTTTCCCCCCACATCTAAATTGTTCTCCTGCCCTTTGTTGAATTGAATTGAGTATTATGGGTGGTTGGTTTATTAGCTATACTTTTTTTTTTTTTTTTTTGGCCATTTTGGTGGATTCTCTGGGGTTTACCTCTAGCTTACCCCAGTCTTCCTTCAAGTAATACCACACCACCTCATGTATAATATGAGAATCTGACACACAACAACCTTACGACATTTGCCTTTGTGCTCTTATTGTCGTAGGCATTACTTTTTTCAAAACCCCACAGTATGTTGCTATTACTTTTGCTTTGGATTGCCAAGTGTTTTCAAACAATTAAAAATAAGAAAAGAATGGTTTTTTTGTTTTGTTTTGTTTTGTTTTAAGAAAAGAATGTTTTGTATTTATCCTCATGTAGGATCAGTAATGTTTCTTTCTTTAGTGTTTGACAGAATTGACCGGTGAAGCCATCTGGGCCTGGAATTTTCTTGGTGGGAAGCTTTTAAAGGGGCACTTTCGTGGCTCAGTCTGTTAAGTGTCTGCCTTGGACTCGGGTCATGATCCCGGGGTCCTGGGATCGAGCCCCACATCTGGATCCCTGCTCAGTGGGGAGTCTCTCCTCCTCCCTCTCCCTCTGCCTGCCACTCCCCCTGCTTGTGCTCTCCCTCTCTCTTTCAAATAAATAAATAAAATCTTTAAGAAATAAAGTATAAATTCAGTTTTTTTGATTCATATCGGGTGTTTCATATTCTCCATTTCCTCTTGGGTCACTTTGGGTAATTTGTGTCTTTGGAGGAATTTGCCCATTTCATTTAGGCTGTCAATTTTATGGGCATAAAGCCTTTCATGATATTTCCTTAGGATCTTTTTTCCTTTTTTCTCCAAAACGTGTTTATTGGGATAATTTCCCACTCATCTGGATTCAGGGTGCTTTTAGCTCTGCCTCTGTCTAAAGGAGCATCCTTCTGGAAGCCTTGTTTTCCCTCTCATAGGCTGGCAAAGGACAGTGGAGAAGCCAACACACAAAACAACCATTTTGTATCTAAAGATGGTGATTTTGTGGCATTCACACGCATGAGTAGGAGTTGGGGCTCTGTACCAGGTGCTTTCTCTGTCCTCTTCCCAGGATGGATGGAGGACGTCCCTTGAGAGGGTCATGTTCTCATGGGGAGGTCATCATGGTTGGAAAGGCTAATTATCTTTTTAATGCGTTAGGACTGATAGCGATGTTCCTCTTTCATTACTTGCCTTGGTAATTCGAGTCCTAGTGTCTTCTTGATCAATGTCACTAAAAACTTACCATTTTTTGTTCCTCTATACAGAACGTCTCTTTTTTCTGCCTACTTTTAAGACTTTCTCTTTATCGCTGATTGTCAGCAGCTTGATTATGCATTGTTATGGTTTTCTTACGTTTACTCTATTGGGGTTCATTGAGCTCGAACCTGGGGATTTTTACCAAATTAGGAACATTTTTGGCAGTTATGCCTCTCAGTTTATATACATTACGTCATTTCTTATCCTTACTGTCTCTATTGTGGATCTCACTTGGCGTAAAATCCAAAGTCCTTACTACCAGCCAGCACCAACTACCAGACACAGAAGTGAGACCACATGGCTCGTAAGATGACAGCAGCTGCCTGAGTGATCCCACACGAGACCAGCTGAAGAATCATCCAGAACAACAGCCTCTAGGCACGTTAGAACAAATAAAGTTTGGTTCTATTCCATTAAGTTTGGGTTATTTATAATGCAGAAACAGATCATCGAAATTGACTATGGCCTATTAATCCCTTCAGGATCCGGCTCCCTATTAGCTCCCTTCGTCACCTCCTTTCTCACTCCCTCTCATTCTGTGCAGCCCGCTGTTTACTTGCAGTTCCCCAAACAGGCCAGCTCTCCCTGGACCCTCCTCCCTGAGACAGCTACAAGGCTCGCTTATTTACCGAGCCCTGACCTGGCTTGCTGTACCCCTTGCCCTGGCTTTCTCTGCTCCATATCACGTATCACTTGACCTACTAGGCATTGATTTGCTTTGTGTGCCTAATAATTTTTTGTTAGATGCTGGGCATTGCTGAGTGTCTCTCCCACCAGGATAGGGAGCTCTGTATGGGCAGAGATCAGATCTGTCTTATTCACAGCTGTGTCCCAGCTGCTGAAACCAAGCCTGGTCCATAACAGGGCTCAGTAAGTATTTGTAGAATGAGTGAATATCTACCCAGTCTTCATTAGCACGGAAGCCACATCCCAGGAACTTCAGAAAGTTCTCTCTCTCCCCAGTTCAGCTCCCAGTCCTGCTCTAGAAGTACAGGGAATGGTGCTTATGCATTCTGGAGCCATTTCAATCCAATCCTCACCCCACAGCCCTGGTCCTGCTTTTTTTCATCTCCTGCCACTCCCGTAACTTCATTCCAGCCACTATCTACAACCTTGACATGCCACTGCCTCTGATCTCTCGACCACGGATCCCAACTCCACTGAGAAGTGGGAGGAAACCACCTTAGGGATCTAGAATAGGGTCACTTGGACACTGAAGGGTTAGGACTTTCAGCCTTTCACATAACACAGATCTGCCACATCTGGGCATGCAGGTGTAGATAAATGGTCTGGGTTGTTGATAGTTTCAACCAAGAGCCCCCAGCTGTTACTAGAACCAGTCTGCCTTCTAGCTACAGACCTGGTTGCAGGGGTTAGCTCATTCGGACTGACTCTGCCTTTCTCGGGGTAGACGTTATCCTTGGGAGACCCAAGATTCTGTTACCCACTGGCCCCCAGGCCACCACAGAAGTCCAGGTATGTCTGAATGAGGTCATTGTCAACACTAGAGATCTGTCTTTAGGCATGTTCTTAGCTCTCAAGTCAATCAGGAAATTCAAGGGGCTCCTGGCTGGTTAAGCATCTGACTCTTGGTTTAAGCTCGGGGCATGATCACAGAGTCAAGAGATCCAGCCCCACATCAGGCTCTGCACTCAGTGGGGAGTCTACTTGAGATTCTCTCCGTCTCCCTCTGCCTCTTTCCCTACTCACCCTCCCTCCCTCTCTCTAAAATAAACAAACATATCTTTTAAAAAAATCAGGAAATTCAAAAAGATGTTTTATGTAGATGGGGCTGTCAGTATCTCCCAACCATTGTTTACCTGGGCCCAGCCAGAGTGACCTAGTAGAGAGATACTGAAATTTACAAAAACTTTGGAAAATCATTGGGAAAAAATTCATTTCTCCATCCATATGTTAACCAAAATGCTTTGGTGAATATTTTTATGTTTCTTGCTAGTCATTTTTGCATGTGTACACTTGTTTTCATCTACGTAACGGAATTTGTTTACATTGTGTACCTGCATATTTGTTTCAGTTCTTCCCTTGACAGCATAATTAATTTTCCATATTGTCGATCGACTTCATAACAAACTTGCATTATATTCCTGAAATGGGTAAATCTTGCGTGAGATGTAAATTACATTTTAAAGCTGTTAAAAACAATTATCATTTTGGGGGCACCTGGGTGGCCGAGGTGGTTCAAGTCATGATCTCCTGGGTCCTGGGATCGAGCGCCATGTCTGTCTCCCAGCTCAGCAGGGAGTCAGCTTGTCACTTTCCTTGCTTGTGCTCGCTCTCTCTCTCTCTCTCTCAAATGAATAAATAAAATCTTTTTGAAAAACCAAATGATGTTTTTAATGCAAGAAGGAAAGATGGCTAGTGTTAAAGGATGGGGAAGAGCATGGTCTAGGAAGGCACTGGTTGGAGCCAGTCTCTGGAGGGCAAGGAAGGTGTTTGGCCAGAGGGGAGCAAAGAACTCTCACGAGGCAGCTGTGGACCAGGCAGGTGGGATGAGACCGTGGGGGCAGCTCAGGCACCAGACACAGGCACCCCATACTAAATCCTGACGACTCCTCTGTCCCCTTGAGAACTTGGGTAAGTACTTCACCATCTTGAGCTTTGATTTCTCCATCTGTAGGATGGGATCATAATGGGTCCTTCCTCCCGGGGATATTAGATGACCCCCCGGGGCATAGGCGAGCTGTAGGGACAGACCCCGGTCTCCATCCTCGAGCCACACGAGAGCCGTGGCAGCATCAGGGAAGCTAGTCGCTGCCTTTATGTGCACCCCGGGTGCACCGTTCCAAAGGCCTTTTCTCCTCCTTCTTTACACCGTGGGAGATTCGCAATCATGGTGAGTAAAGGAGGGGAAAGGAGAACTCAGACTTGAGTTCGAATCTTGCCTCTGCACTTCCTAACCCGTGACCTGGGGTGACCTCTTTAGCATTTGGCTTCAGTGTCCTCAGCTATCAAACGAGGATAATCATAGTGTCCGCCTCACAGGGGCTCTTTAAGAGGCAGCAGCCGTGGGTGTCAGGGCTCCTGGCTTCCAGCCATGGTTGTTAGCCCATGGAGCATGCCCGCAAGGGAAAAGGCACTCCCTTGATGTGTCTGGCCTGTGACAATTTGACTTTTTGCATTTTACTTATCAGCAGCCACTGGCTCAGAGCTGAAGAGCCCTGGACCCGGACAAGCACCACTTTCTTGTCCTTCAAGGTGGAGGGGGACATCCTCCAGCTGTCCCTAAATGCTCTGCCCTGAACATTCCTGGGATGGGTTCCGTCTACCTTGCTGACGGCAGGCACCCTGAGAGCCGTGAGTATGCGCGCTGTGACCCTGCTCTATCCCCGGGCACTCAGCCCAGAATCTCACAGATCAGAGGTTCTAGATGAAATTACAGTAAATGAATGAATTTTCCCATCCTAGCT